TCTCCTGCGGATCAGTTCGTACGGATTGAGTGTAAATGAGTGGTTTTTGGGTTTTTTCGCAAAATGTTTCCGCTGACGGAAACGAATCTCGTGACCAGCTCACGGGGGCTCTTTTGCAAAATGGTTGATGATTTTTTGGAGACCACCGACGCCTCAAAAAATCCCATTCGTTCTCTCTCTCTCCCCCAAAAAATCCCAAATCCTCCTCCAGATCCCATCGGACCTCCCCTCCAACGCCTCAAATCACCGACGACCGCCGTCAAGTTGGAGACCACCGACGACGAAGAAGTCCATCCCCGCCGACCGTGACCCACTATCCCCGCCGTCGAGCCACGAATCCGACGTCTGAGACCACCGACGACGACGAAGTCCATCCCCGCCGATCATGATCCACTATCCCCGCCGTCGAGCCACGAATCGGACGTCTGAGACCACCGACGACGACGAAGTCCATCCCCGCCGACCGTGACCCACTATCCCCAACTCCCTCGAGCTCGATCTCGACCTCACCCAACTCAGGTAACCACGACGCCCTCGACTTATTAATTGTACTTCAGTTTCCAAATTAACTTGCTTGCTTGTGATGTTTGAAATGGGATTACTTGCTTGTGATGTTTAAGAAAGGGGATTACTTGCATTAGTTCAGCATATTTGAAAACTCTGGCCTCGTTAGTTTTCTTGTGATGTTTTATGTTCAAGTCAGTCTGAAATATTTGCACGTACTCTAATTATAGTTGTATGTCTGTGTTAAATGTGGGCTAGCTGTTGTTCTTGCTTGTGGGCTAGCTGTTGTTCTTGCTTGTGATGTTTAAGAAAGGGGATTACCTGCATTAGTTCTTGCTTGTGATGTTTAAGAAAGGTAGACAATAGCTAAGCCAGTGGTTTTTCAAATGCCAGTGTATTCTTGTTTTTGGTAGAAATCAAATATCGGAGAAACGGAAAACTAATTAAGAATAGGCTTCTCAATTAGGTGACAAGTAGATAGCTCTATGGTATTGGGTATTAATTGAGTTTCCAATTACGAGAAACTTGAGTTTTTATGTTCAAGTGCGTAGGATAAATAAGTTTGATTGAGCACAATGGTATTGGGTATTAATTTGAAAGTATTCAGTGCGTAGGATAAATAATTACGTTTTTAACTTTGCTTGCTACCTGATCATTTCTAAAAATTGGGAGGAATGTAAATCCTAGGTAGATAAGTTCCCAAATGCCTCCTACAAAGGGTATGCAACATACGAAGAGGCTTTGATGGAATGGGAGAAGCACACACTCGCTCGTGATTCAGCATCCAGCTCGAGGCCTGTTCAAACATCTATTTATGCTCAAGAACATAGATATCCAGTGAGCCATAATCTGGATGTGGACAAGGGAAAACTTGGGGAAACTTCTATTTTCTCTAACTATGCTTTTGTATTAGGTTCATTGTATACAATATTAGTATTTCTAGTATGTATCGTTACGATATTTGTTGGTTTCTCCATTGCAAAAAACATTGTTAGGAATCTTGACCCCAAGATTAGTTTGTTTTGATGATAACAAATATTATATGTTGTGTGTATCGTATTATGTCTAACATTTGTTTTGGCAGTATCAGAGCTATATCAACAATTATATCAAAGAGATACTCAAGACATAGATGGAGATTCATGCAAAATGAAGCAAAAGATATAAGATATACTTTATATTGTCAAAGATTAATTTATATTTTCTTTGCTTAGAATTTGTACAAGCTTGATCACTTCATCCACATGCCACACACATAGTGTGTTAGGAACACACTAACACATGGCTTAGTTGTGTTTGGTTACACAATAGAATCCCCTATGTTAGCCATTTACAGATTATAGATATTAGTGAGTCTTAAAAGCATTTTATTACACCCCTTATAAAATTATAATCTGGAAAACTCAAAAGACCAAAGTTGTAGGTCTCTTCAAGAGCTTTTCCAACAAATCTTAAATCACCTCATTCTGATAATCGGATGAGAAGTTTATAGTCAATATACTAAACAGAAAAATTCCAGAATCTCGAGTTTCAGTGTTAGAGTCGACTATTTATGGCCTGCTAGTCGCGACTACAGTCATCAATTTTCTGACTTCGACAGATCTGTTTTAGACTCAGTGTAGTCCGACTGACATGACTTGTAGTCGACTACAGAAGGCAGTTTTCCCAGATTTCAGTTTTAAAATAAGTGACTGTTTATAGCCGTTTTGTGGAATAATTGGGTTTAAAATTATTCATTTCAAGAGCTATAAAATAGGTTTAAACATCAGAAAACAACAACTAAGTTTTACACTTGCAAGATACAAAACATTTTGTGCTATTCACTCTCTAATTTTCAGATTGTTCATTGCTAAGTGTTAGGAAAAGAGAGTTTTCTAATATTGCATTGCGTTTTCAATCATTTTCTTAGGATTTGTATAGGCCAATATTAAAGAGAGTTAAAAGATCCTAAGCCACTTGCAGGCACTTCATACACATTCGAGGTTTATATGGATCAATTGTGTTCTCGTGCTTCTGTTTGGCTGTTGATTTCTGCCATCTTAGCGGTACTATCTGAGTTGTGGGGGTACTGTTGTGTTTTGAGTGCGTTGTGTGCTCTGCTTCAAAAAAGGATTTGCTCTCGGGTTTGAAGAGGGTTGATCTCTTGCCGTTTTAAGAGATTGGGTGGCCAATTGGCATGGTCTTGTCAAATTGGTGTTGCAAATTTGCATGGGTTCTTGCAAATATGGCCTCAGGTTTGCCTTTTGATTTTTTGTAAGGGTTTCAAAATCTAGGTTGAAATCTCAAGCGGCAATTTGCTTGGGGACTGGGTACACCGGTGTGTGGAACCAGGTATAAAACTTCTGTTTGTTTGTTGATTTTGTGAAGTTTGAGATTGCTCTTTTTCTTTGCAATTTATAGATCTACTTTGCATAATTTTAAAGACACTATTCACCCCTCTTCTAGTGTTCTAGTGTATCTATTTCAGATCCAACATTTGCGTATCAGGAGCAGTGTGAAAGATTGGCATCATCAAATTTCATCACAATTCAAGGAAGGTCACTCTACAAATCGTCCGTCCAATTGTTCGATGGTTCGACTACAAATATTGGAAGTGCAGAATGAAGATTTACCTTCAATCAATTGGCTACGAACTTTCTGGAACGTCGTGGAAAAAAATATGAGAAGCAACAACTCCTTTTGCAGATGCTACTTCTCAAAGAAATAATGCCAATTTGGATTCAAAGCATCTCCGCTCTTTATCATTCTTAGAGATTGTATAGGCAATATTCAGAGAGTTAAAAGAATCCTAAGCCACTGCAGCACTTCACTACACATTCAAGGCTTATAGGATCAATTGTGTTCTTGCTTCAAAAAGGATTTCTCTCGGGTTTGAGAGGGTTGATCTCTTGGTTTAGAGATTGGGTGGCAATTGGCATGGTCTTGTCAATTGGTGTTGCAATTTGCATGGTCTTGCAAATTGGTCAGGTTTGCTTTTGATTTTGTAAGGTTTCAAAATCATAGTGAAAATCTCAAGCGGGATTTGCTTGGGGACTGGATGTACACCGGGTTGGTGGAACCAGTATAAAACTTTGTGTTTGTGATGTTCATTTTCTGAGATTGTTGTCATTCTTTCTTGCAATTTATAACACATCTTGCAAA